CTCATTGTCCCTTCAACCAGCGACTTCAGTATCTAATCCAGCTCCCAGTCACCTCCATCTAGATCCCTCCCCCCAGCTCATGTTAGTGCAGTCGGTAAGGCCCCATCTCACCACAGTACTTCCCTCTGAAAAGAGTATATCTCTTCCCTTTTACCAGGCCTTCCCTCAAAGCTGACTTATTTCACCTTCTCAAAAAGAAACCCGCTCTCAGATACATCAGACGTTTAATAGAGCTGAAACGTGTGATTGGGGATTCTAGAGAACCCTGTGCTTGTCCTCTTTGCTTGTACCTGTTGGTGAGTTGCTACTTAGGGAAGCAAATGGAACGTTTCTGTGAAGCACGTGATCACATGGGAGTTGCATCTCCCTTTCCTTGGCAAGAGAGAAAGGGCGAATGTGTGGCGCCTATGCGTTCCTGGGAGGGAGGCTCCCGCATTCACGCTCCGTGCTTTTGTTCCCCTAGCGGTTCCACCAAATGTGGCAGAACTGAAGAACTTGGAAGTGCTCAACTTCTTTAATAACCAGATTGAGGAGCTGCCCACCCAGATCAGCAGCCTCCAGAAGCTCAAACACCTAAACCTTGGGTGAGTGTTCGTGGAGGGGAGACCACAGAGGGGTGGGATGGGAAGGGGCGGGGAGGAGTGTGGGCAAGGGATGGCCTGTATATGGTTGCATGGGAGGAACTAATTTCAATTTTCTTTTTATGCTTTAGATTTCATAAAAAGTTTTATTGTTTTAATATAGCCTTTCGTTGGCCTGCAGTTATTTGAGACCTAATTGAGAAGCTAATCATTAGTGCAATCATAAGGAAGTTGGTTGATTTTTTTTTTCTTTTTACTGTTTTTTGTTTCCAATAAAATTTTTATTTCAGTTAAGTTGAGGGAGTGGGGACTTATTTGCCTGGCATTACTGTCTGTAGGGGCAACTGTTAAGGGCAGTTATAATATCGGGTAGTTGCTTTTTCACCCTGTATCAGGAAAAACATATCCTTACAACCACATTCTTCTCCTCTGGGGGCCAGGATACATTTTGTAGCAATGCTTCATTCATCTTGCCTTTGGTTCAGGCAGAAGAGAGGTTATAATCCCATGTCTTTCTTTGCAAAAAAGGTGAAGAGAGGAGTTTTGATTCAGCTGAGTTTGCTGAACCAGGGAGCAGCGAATAGTAATAATCCTTTGTATTCATTCCATTGCTTCAAAGTTTTCCAAGTAGTCCGGCCCGTGCCTGGCCCTCTCCACAATTGGGAGACCTGACTGCTTGCATCATAGGGAGGGAGCCACGCCCTTTCCAAGAGGTTAACAGATGAGGTCCTGATGGCCCCTCTGGTTGGCAACTGAGTGGAGGAGAGAGTCCCCCTGTGTGTCAGCTGGAACTTGACTTTCCCCAGTTCTCTGAATTCCTTATTGGTGTTGCAGCTGTTAGATGAAAGTGCCCCACTCATGGGAAGTAATGTTGTCACTAAATGATAGCCACTAAATGCTCCAGTTCAGATCGTGGTTTACAGGAAGCAGTAATGGAAGCTATAGGTATTTATTAATGCAATATGCAGCAATCATGAAACAGAAAATCCACTCATGCAATGATTTTGCGTTCACTCTTCCCACATGGAGTTTAGTCAGTTACCTTAGTTGGAGCTTCAGCCCTGGTTAATGAAGTTTCTTAAGACATCATTTCTCTCGAATGGAGACATGTACCTCTCAGGCAGAGTAGAAGTAGAAAAGATTACATATTGATAT